GTCTGTTGAGGAAATTCCGAAAAATGGCGATGGAGCGGAATCGAACCGCTGGCTACCGAGTGTGTGATCCACGTAGCACAGCCACTGTGCCATCGCCGCTGTTGGCGAAGATCCAGATATTTGTGCTTGAGCTTGAGCCAACCAGGTAGGCGGCGGATGGGCGGCTGCTGTGTGTACAAGAGGATTCTCCTCTTACAGTTCTGCAAAGGGTCATCAATCGTTCTATCTTATCTTAGGTTATTACTTTACAATCCAAATGCATCTACTTTTTGCTTCGACCAGCAAATCGTAACTGCGCGGAAATGCTTGTTTTGCAATCATCCAGGAAAGCAACCCATCCTTTTACTGATGAAAGAAATAAAATCTGGTTACCTTTAAAACTTATTAGCTTTAACACTGTTTCAAACATAATCGTAATGATGGCGACAAAACCGTTTTATAAAGAACTGTTCAAGAAAAAGTATTGCGTAAGGTTTAAGTAATTGCGTAAGGTTTAAGTAACGAGATGTGAGGATAATTACGTTACCGCAAGCGGCTGACGGAGGAGCAAGAACAAAAAAAAATAACTGAGCAATCATCAGTCTGTTCGCACAATAAATCAGCTCGGAGAGTATCATCAGTTTCAGTTTCGCAGAGGTCGCATGTCAGTGCTTCCGTTTTAGCGCGCTGCTGCCGAAAAAACTTTTTAACAGAACAGCACGACAGCGATTGTCCGGGCGCAGATGATGATTGAAGGCGGTAAAAGAAATAATTCAAGGTAAGATCGATTCTGATTTCTTACTGAAATACCAGCACAAATATTACAACTTCCTGGGTATAATTACTTCTACAACCATTCTGCGTCTTATGAATTCTGACAGCACAATCATTATTTTCACATCAAACGGTTTATTAATAAAAACAATACGAGAATAAAATTTTGAAAAAAAACTCGGCGTATAAAAAAAAACTTTGTTTACAACTTAGAAAGGGCTTAATACTCACTAATAATACTCTGACTTTTTCAGTTTCTACCTTGTATTAGGATTTTTATAATACCGGTAGCAAGCAGTCTTGTACAGCAATGTGCACGAATTCTTACCACCCAGACTTTGACGGTAATTAATTGAATAGCAGCGAAGACAGTATTCGTGAGTGTGGTTTATCTCTTCAGGTATTAACAGGCAACAAAAAAATGGATGTCTTTCGGCAGAAAGATGGATAACCTTTGGAGAAGGGTGGATAACCCATGGAGAAAGGTGGATGACCTTTGCAGAAAGGTGGATGACCTTTTCAAGAAGTCGATGACCTTTCCAGAAAGAGGGATGACCATCATTAAAGAACCACCATCCACCGGTATACCTTCCTGCCGGCTACAAGCGAACAGGTAGCTTCGCCTGTGCATGATACTTGCCTTAATCCAGCGATAAGCCAGCAACAAACTTTGCGCCGTTAGAGAAGAAATTTGGGATTTATCCGCATATTTCGCAATCAGCAACGCACTCGTGGAAACGATAACGAACAGAGCGTAGCATATCACCGTCACAGCCAAGAAGAACCTCCGTCGCTTAGAGCCGTGCAATTTCTGATAGCGGACCGGCGCGACTACCGCAACGAAGCGATCCACAGCATAGACAGCCAGAGCTCTGTACCGTACAACATAATTTTAGCAGGAAAACATTAAGAAATGACACAATTTTATTGACACATTGGTATTTGACTGTCTTTACTTCAAATTTGCTAAGGAAAAAGTCATACCCTTGGCTAAGTTGCAGTAGGGAAGCCTCCAGAAATATCAGAATTTCTTTATCCTGCACGAGAGGATGGTCTTCACCCAAGCAGCCAAACGCCGGAGCTAGTCGATGAGACGCGTACAGCAGCAAACCACGGTTCCATCTACACAAGAGAAAAACGCTTTTTCACCTGACCTTTCTGCAGTAATAAAATTTTTCTAATTTCTTTCTGATTTTAATTTTCAAAAATTTTTTATAGTAATTTTTTGCCTCATGGAATTTTAACTTACAAATACAGAACATGGATCGACAAATAAGCCAAAAGAAATATCTCTTTGCTTTTGAAACGGCGCTCGCCCACGTGACCTCGCGAAGAATTTTTGCGCAATTCGCGCAGCACAAAGAAGATGCCCCATCCGTTGCCCAGTGTTCCAATGGACGCAAATATCAGAAAAGAATATGTCGTCCATTCGTCCATGGATAACTGGCAAAGCTGTTGCCGTCTCCATTCGACATGCTGCATACTGAAGTTGAACAAGGGAAATCCGCACGAATCAGTGGCATTCGCCATTGCATACAAATGATGCAATGCTGCCGGAAAATCAACTGCAAAACACAGCAGCCCAGCACAACAAAACAGTCTGAGCTACAAAAACCGTGCAGAATGGTTCGCTATCGCTTCTGTCTAATTTCTCCGAAGAAAAGGATACCATTATGAATGAAACGAGGGACAACAGCGCGCTTTCTATCCTGACCAGGGCCGTATTTTATGGCAGTGCGCGGATGTTCGTATCCCCACAGAAATACATGGAAGACCGGTCAACTTCCGCTACCAGCCGCTAATTAGAGCTTCGTATTACGCGATTAAACAGAGGGGCCGCGATAATAAAACCGAGTAGATGTGGAAGCGCAGCGGCATAACAGTGCAGTGATTGGTTGCGATGCTACACATTAATTTGGCCAATGAATATAAAGAAAGCCATAACAGCTGTTAATCTGGCAATTAGCCGGCAGTAAATCCCTATCCACACAAACCTGCAATTATCAATCCGGTACGACGATGAAAATGTACTCACTGAGAATCGCTACACTGCAATGACTGCATTCGGAGTTGTTAGCGTATGGCGGATGCAGGTCATAATACAATATGGAACTAATAATAATTGTGCATGTTGTATGCGAGTGCTCGTAACTGGAGTTGCAACTGTGGACGTGTAAATCATTCAGGTATCGAGTACGAGTACAGTACCTCTCTGTGGATGTCTCGCAAAGCATTACAGCAGCTGGCATTGCATCGTCAGTGAGTACCGAGAGCGGATCGATGGATATGCTGCGATTTGGGAGTGTACGGAATCACAGCTAGTCGCAAACAGCGAGGAAAAGAGGAATATACAGACAGTAATTGAATAGTAAACTGGTAATTATCATTCATGCACAACCAGGAACAACAGACTGTAGACGATTCTCTAAACAACCCGACCATTTAAAGTTTATTCCACTGCAGCAGTCCGTCCTACATGCTGCCAGCAAAGCTGCTGACTGCTAGCAGGATACACGAGAATGCGATGGGATAGGCTTTGAAGCGATATGCCCGCAAGTATCACCTGGTGCGCTCGATCTTTCCATAGTATGGTATTTAGGCACTTCAGCAGCATAATTTTTTGATAAGATTGCTGCTTTTTCGAGGTGGCTGAGCGCCTCCCCGACAATCCGGGGCGCGTAGAATTTACCTATTCGCCCCCGATGTCCAGGCGCACAGAATTTAGCTTTGCCCCCCGAATACCCGGGCACAGAAAAATATCAAAATTATTTCCGGCAGTTAATTGCTTCTCCTTTACTTCTTTTTACTCGATTACCAGTAAGGTTGCAGGAGAGCATGAGGTAAGAGAGGACCGCCGAATTTGAAGACCTTAATAGATACGTTTTCCTTTAGTTTGTCCCGTTTTCATCGCCTGATTCGTTGCAAAGGTTGTAGGACTGGTTCAATCCGTACCAAACTTGTCCAAAACATAACTGAATCAGTCTGCCAGATCTTGAGTTTCAGCGCTTTTACAGTATTCGGTTCATCAGTTGTGTGCGTAACCGTAACAACAGTTACAAGCCACCTAGGACGTCGTCCTACGGAAGTCCACTCCATTACTAAGCACAAAACTGTTGTAATTACAAATGGTTAAGGTAAGTGGCCCCCTGTGCATTTATGTGCAAACTTTAATGGATCGGTTGATAAATGATAACGAGACTTTTGGTAGTACACCGGAATCATTTAAACTTTTCAGAATTTTCTAACAACCATACTCCCGAACTGAATGTTGCGCGCACAAACAGTTTTTTCGCCTACTTATGTATACAAACCATTTGGCGACAAAATGTCATTAAACAAAGCAGAAAAGATTTGGGAGTATGCGGAAGTGAAAGTTTTCGTAAATGAACACGAATTTCGTACCATGCACCAGGCCAAATCCCATAAGTGGTAAAATTAAGCGGTTAAATACATGAAAGAAGCCAAGAAAAGTAAAAAAAAAGCTGTCACGTTTAAGGGGGAGACGGACGTACTGTTGTACAACTGCGACTATGACAGAAACCATTGCCGGCATTCCGATGTCGCAAGATGCACTGCATCATCTGAATAACGCGCGCTCCGATGAAATGAAGGGAATGCAACAGGAGGCGGTATACAGGAGAGGACGGGAGATATTCCAGAAATCGCGTCAACGTTGGAAAATAAGCGATAACGCTGCTGACGCCTTAGTTAGCGCATTTGCTGATGTTTTCGACGTGGAAAGATATGTGTTTCGGTTCCGATAAAGTGGTGTCCACTCCGGAGGATTTAGAACTACGTATCCGACAGCCCCGTAGGGCGGGGAATGAGTATTTCAGTTTGCCTGAAGTCGAAGGTTGGCTTCGAATTATTTGGACACTGCACACAAACATTTTCAGGATAGGCTGACCATTATGTACCACGGGCGTCAAGATTCTGTAGCAATGACTTCATAGGCCAACTTGTTGCCGAAGCTTTAGAGCTTGCGCTTTCATCGTCAAGTATCAGAAGGACCTTTACTGGAATAAATCTATAGGTAAAGATCCGAAACATGCTGTTGTTTTATGTAATGCACGTTACTGTAATTTGGATGGTATTGCACGTACACAAGTACAGTGTACAAGTATTCTAGTAAAAAAATTGTTCTGTGATGATGTCGGCTGGCTTCGAAATCTTGGTTTACCATATCAAATCTACAGAACATACCGTTGACCAGTTGTTTGGTAAATTAAAATTTAATTCATGGCAAGTCACATTAAAAGACATCTTGATCGGATACCGTCAAGAGAATGAGGTAAACGCTTCGTCAGAAATTTTATACTGTTAAAGCAGATAGTAGATTAGGAAAATCTAAAACCGTCTACAAGCCGTGTTTGTTTGCAAGTTATTTAAATCAGCAACTCGTCCTGCTAGATAAACTGAGGCTTTATGTTGAAAAGCCTTCAACAGAATTTAGAAAGGATTCTAATGACGAACGACATCCAGTCAAAATGTGGTATGATCCAGGCTTATTGCAACACATCTAACAATCCAACGAACTAGACTATGCAGGTTGTTAGTTTCACACAAACGGTAAGGCTTCCATTACTGCTACAGATTCCGCTTTTGTCACACCTGCATCCTCAACGCAGGAGCTGCTCATCGTCGGTTGAGCTATGGCTTCCAAATGTCGGCTGATAACTTCAGCGTCTGCAACGCTCTGAAAAGATATACAAATATCTAGCAACATGCGATCATGTAACTGACAGTACTATACACGAAAGAGGCTCAAAGTGCTCGTGAAATTCGAAGTCTGGAATCCCTTATGTTTAATCGTTAAAACGACAAAGAAAAAACAGAACAACGGGAGTGGAGTTTGTACCAGAAGAAAGCAGGGTTTGTATCAAAACGAAAAAACTAAGTAACCAGGAACGTCAGTTACAATACAAGATGACAGCCATCCTTCTCGTCATAATATTCACAGAATTCCAGCACGTACCTTGTGCAGTTCCTCATACGCTTCGGCCAATCGCACACTGATGTTATGGACTTTTTGCTCCAGTATCTGTATCACCATCAGCACCTTCTGCAGATACGCTTCTTCGCCTTGCATATACGTCGCTCCGATTGTAGGATGCTGCTCCCGCAGCGCCTGCATTGCTCCATCCAGTTCCGCCAACTGTAACGATTTCTGCGACTCCAGAAACTGCACCTGGTGGGCGAGACCTTTGCTCTCCTTTCTCCATTGCTCTAATGCGTATTCCACATCCTAATACAAAACCACAATTGTAGAGAAAAAATTTCCAATTGGAGACACCATTAAAATGCATAATGCTAATTAATTGCTTATCAAATCATATAAACTCTAAAATTAGCTCTTTGATTATTAGTCAGGTGGAGGTACCAAAGAATGACCTTTTCGCAGCGGTTACACAGTTCATTCTGTTCCTGCTGGCGGAGCGCTAATTCCTTTCGCGCCAGAGCACGCTGTTGGCGGAGTAATTGCAGATTCCCGTCGTCATTCTCGATTTCCAGGACTTTCAGGCGTTTCAGGGCGGCGACCGTGTAAATCGATAGAGCATCGGCAAACACCGTGCCATACTTGCGGCGTATCGTACTGAGAATCGGGATGATTGTCAAACATAGCTGATTGACGGTTTTCTGTGCTGGATCACTAAGAACCATGAGATCTCTGCGAAATGTTCAAAAACCTGGGAAAGTAAACATAGAAAACTATTGCTTGGAGACAAAACTTTCACAACAACAAAATTATTACGGTAGTGTACGGAAAGTACCCTATAAAAGCTATCTGTTTTGTATTGGTCGAAGAAAACATCGGCGTTAATCAAGATCGCGAAAATTAAACCACTGTTCGCGGATTCTAACAGATCGTGTGGAACTGTCATCAGCAGATTGTTCAGGAAGTTTATTTTTTTAAATATGGCATTTCCCATTGGTTCAGCCAACAGTTATCTGCAGCTTGTACGTAAGTGTTGGCAGCAGAATATTTCAAACTTTCTCCATACATTATCAAAACATTTCCAAAATTTTATTTAAAAATACAGTAGCATCTAAATAATTTTGATAAAGTTTTTTTTGGAAGAATAAGAATAAAATAAGTACTTAAAAAAATTAAAATAAAGGCTGACATTTTTAGTTGCGGAAACCGAACTTCCACAAACTCCACCACCTACGTTATGCGGACGGCGAGCCAACCGTCGTGGCGCCCAGTGGCGCCCCTCAAGAGACGGGAATGGAGAATGTGTTGGAGAGCATCGGTCTCTCGGGCATGCACCCCACCCAGCCCAAATGGCTGGCGTTGGATAAGACGATCCTGCACTTTTTCGCTTATCTTTACGAGGTACAGGGTGCTTTATCTGCGTGCGTGGTGCGAAATTAGTTAAGTATGAGAATATGACCTTTTAGGGGCCTGTGGAAAGCCGCAGTGAAGAGTGCATGCGGATTCGCTACTGCGACATCTATTATTATATGGAAGACGATACGGTTATGATCATGGAGAAGCTGGATGATCGTGCGGGAACCTACAACGGTTAGATCCTGGTTAGATCATGATGAAAGCAGTTCGCGGTGCTGAAAAAGTTTACTGGAAGAATTCAAGTGTGCTTGTACAAAAACAGTGTATAAGCGCGGTTCCTGGACAGCTCTTTACTAACTCGGCTAATTTTTGCTTTTCCGTAGCTTTCTGCAAGATCCAAAAACAATTACCAAGTTTCTAAAAACAACATTCGTGACAGTTAACTTAATTAATTGCAAGCAAATAGCATTCTTGAAATTATTACTTTAGGATTAAATTATTGTACTGTATCATTACCAGCCAAATTATTAGCTCGTATCCCAAATTTACATCTTCAATTCTCTCTTTTATTAGCGCAAGCCAGTCACACTGCAAATTTTGTTTATTTTTATCTTCAATCGGGCTATAAATCACATTAACAGGTATTCTTAACAATATTTTACAGTTTTTATTTCTTATAGGTAAATTGCTCAATAGACAGCGTGTTCCCAAATCCAGCAATCCCCACGCCCACATCAGCGTGTACGATTTCAACGTGGGCAAACCAGTGGAGATTTTCTCGCGGCATTATTTCGTCTACAAATGCGATGAGTTCACGCGCGCTACCTTGACGCATATGGGCTTTGAAGTACCGGAAGATTTCCAAGCACCCTTCAGCCAACATCTGCTGGATTCTGCAGCGGTACAGTGATACTATCACCGAAAACTGAAAGCTAATAAACAACTGCACTCGCCATATTCACTTGGTGATGATTATTCGGTAGTATTTCTACGTAATAATCATAATATTTATCTACGAGTAATAAAAAACAATAAAAACGAAATATTATTAAATAAAAATATAAAACAAAAACTTTTTCAAAATTTCTACGTACCTGCTGTAAACTGTAGGAAAAGCATCTAAACCACCGCTTACGCCGCCACATTAGCCACCACCACACCGCGGAGCGTTTCCGGAATTTCGACACGAAAGTCCTGCGGTTTTACGGATACTGGGACGATCGGGCGAGTTTATTCGGCGACCGACACTACCTCGTCATTCATCATCACCTCGGCGATCAAACCACGGAAGTACTGCGTAAAGTTAACGGGGCGTTGGGCAAAGAAAAACTGGAGCCGTTTGTGCGACGTAGCCGTATACCAAAGGTCACAATAAGCATATCCAGAAAATTGAATAATATTTGTTTTGTAAATAAATGAACAAAACGATTAATTTGCGCAGAATTTTGCGGAATACGAGACAGCCAACATGTCCAATCCGTGGCCGGTGCTGAACATTGTCAGCTCGCACGGAAAACAGTCTAGCGAATCCCATCTGATCTATGACCAAGCGCAAGTATTAAATTCCGTTATCATTCATTGATGGGTTTACAATATTAAACAAGTTAAAGTTTCTAAAAAATCTAATTTTAATTTTAACTAAATTTTATATTTTTTAAATAGTTTAAAATAGATTTATACAAAATAAAATACGCCTTTAATAAATATTAAAAGAGATTGATACAGGTAACAATTTAAAGAATGGATAAATGTGTAAAATGGATTTATATGTTATTTTGTTATTTAATGTATACTAAAGTTATAGAATAGTTTGTCATGGGTTCGAGTATTATTAAAGTTAAACACAATTTTCTTTGCAGTTTGCTGCATTACCGGCGCTTGTAACAGATCGTGACTTCCAGTGCGGCTCAAATATCGTGCTCATGGCACGCCTGATTTATCTCTACGACTGCGATAACTACACGAAGTGGTACTACAAGGAAACGTACGGTTACGGTCAGCCCAAAGTTTTCCATTAAAATCCAGTAAATTTTAAAACCTTGCCGGTTTAAATGATATGACAGTCGTTGCCTCTGTAGAACAGAAACCGGTCCCCATCGAGCCGCCAGCGCCACCACCCACAAAACCCGCTGCCGTAAAGCCACCTCCATTCAACGGCTACGGGACGGAAGAAGATTCCCTGCGTAACTGTCAGCTGCTCATTCCCAAGCCGCCGATGCTGGATGTCCGGAAATATCTCCTGCTGGAATGGCACGAGGAAGACCCCACCGTGTTGGTATTTACGCTGCGTCTGCTGCATGAGAATAAACGTGACGCGGGTCGGACGTTTGTCATGTCGTTCTACCTAAATAACGACAACATTTATATCTACGAAAAGGACGCTCCACAAGGCAAGAATTTAGCGGCAACGAAAAAAAAAATTGTACATATAATAAAACATATAAAATATTAAACCTTTTCCTTTTTTATTTAGTCCAGTTTATAAGTAAGTCGCTAAATAAAAATACTATGCTGAAAGCTAAACCTGAAGAAAGACGTACAAAGATAACAAACAATTAAATACACAAATTAAACAATTAATTAAGTAAATCATTGATAATAAAGGTTTAATTATTTAAGAACGATCCAAAGTAATTCCCGAATAGTTTCGAACAAAATATTTTAAAATTTGAAGGAGTCTCGGTTGGGAGTTTCCACAGCCGCAAGACTGTAAAGAAAGGCAACGATCCGCTGCTCGACGCACCGCAGTATCTGAAAGCCGAGGATCTGTACATCGGCGGCATGTACAGTTTCAGTGGGCAGACGTTTATTGTGACGGCCGTCGACGAAGCCACCGCCGCGTACATGGAGAAATACCCACAACGTGTACATACTGCAATGTTCTTATTTTATGTTTCATTTAATTCGTCCTATATACTTATACCACGTAATTTTTATAGTTTCCATATGCTGACGGGAGTCTGGTGTTGGAGAAATTCACGCGCGCCATGGTGGCCAGCGGTGATAAAGGGATTTTCGAACGTTTACGGAACAATTTGAAGACCAACTCTGATGTGATGAACTGGAACGATTTCCTGTATGTACAGACAAAGTTATTAATCGTGATCAATCCTTATCGCTGCAAACTTATTCGGGAGACATTTTCAGAACGGTTTTTTAAACCGAATTCTTAACTATTATTTCGTATCCACCCTTTATCTATTCGGGTGACCTTCCGAGAACGGTTTTCTACACCAAACTTTCCACTGTTTCGTTTCCACTTTTTATCAACCTTTCGTTGCACTCTGTTTGTTTATTCGGTTTATATTGTAATTCAGCATTTTTTTATTTGGTGATTACCAATTATTTTATTAGATATTTAATATTTTTCCCTTTCGTATTAATAACTGGTTCATTTCTTAATTACTTTCAAATATACCGGTAATTTTTTCCAGTGTTTTTTTAATTGCTTCAGTAATTTTTATCGGCCGCTCGCTTTTGCTGACGGAACAAGAATAATATAATGCATTTCTGTACTTTACAGTGATGTGCTTATGTCAACCGTCGGGAACGCCCTGAACCCGCACGAATACTTCACGCTAGCGCGCCGCTACCAGCGTCACACGGAGGCCAGCCGCACAAAAATGGCGCAGCTGCTGCGCGCCATCATCCAGCATCATCTGCGGAAGACGGGATGGGATCCGACGCTGCATCTCCTACAAGCGTGTATCCGTGCTGATTACACCGAGACCGGGTTCTTGTCGTTAACGGAGATGCTGCGCTGTATCAAGGGCGCTCGGATGCCCGGGAATACCGCGGTATGTGCTACGTATCTCGATCTGACAACGGATGCTGCGGGTGTGGATTATCGGCGGGTGGTCAGTGCGCTGGATTGGATGCGGCATCCCGTGGCCGAGTTTATCGATTTACCACAAAATGTGAGTAAAACACTTCAATGCACACTGCAGAGCTATAACACGTGCAAATCGGTCAGCAGGTCAGCGGCTAAAAACTTAATAATTAATACAACAAGCTGTGTGTAAAAGGATCACACATAATGGGAATAAATCGCTAGCGATGAGTTCGAACAGAGAGAGAAGAGCTTCCTTGCGCGATATGCGTTAAAAAATCAAGTATCATACATTTTCTATCCCGACGATTAGATGGTGGTGGCTGCATTGCGCGATAAGGGCTTGTAGAGCAGTAATTGATGAAAATCTCATTATTATCACACGGTTAATATTTACAGATTGGAAAGGATTTCGATTATAATAAGTATTTCGGAGATGTGGTGCCGGTGGTACGGCATGAAGCGTTTCTGGAGGATGTCCGGCCAATTTACGAAAATCTTACATGGCCAAAATGATCCGATTGACCTTTGCGGTGATATGCCACATAATTTATCGCGTTTAGTTTGATGTTGTCGAGTATTTGGAAAAAAGTCTTAAAAAGCGTTATTTATTTTTGCGTAGTTGGGACCGAATGCGTTGTAACGAAACCAGCACTGTGTTGCTGTTAGAATTTTGTTCTTTTGGAGAGAAACAATTCTTTCCGATATTGTTTTGCATATACTGCAATTTGCTTGTGCAGGGTTTTATAGTCGCCCGATTCTGAGTCGCTGCCAGCTGAAACCTAAAATTAAAGCTAGAATAGAAAGTGTTAACGCGCTTTATTGTATAATGACATCTTGTCTGGTTGAAATTTCTTATGATCCTTGGTAACAAGCTGTAAATCGTATGCGCTGACATATCTACAAAAGGTCACCGAGGTCACTTCATTTCATCACATCGTTAATGCTGAAAGCCGCTTATATCCGTGCAACAAATTACTAATTAACTGAATATGGTACCCTGTTAGTAGAGTACACACCGAAAGTGGCAATAATCCATGAAAGGTCACAGAATAGAGCTGCCGGCAGAAATATAAAGCGAATTACAGCCGAATTGTTGTTTGTTGAGATTGTTTTCATATCTGTAAAAAAAGATGGCAAAGAAGCCGAAAGCTGGTAAAGATAAGAAGAAAGATAAAGCCGTGAAAGCCTTGACACCAGCGGAACCACCGCCACCTGATCCCGTGGAGATCGCCCGGCAGTTGCGACTGCAGCAGAAATTTACCAGGTACGAGGCTGGATGAGGACTGAGGATAGTCTTGCAGAAACGTAATGTTTGTCTTCATCAATTATTTCAGACTGGAATTGTTAAAGCAAAATTCCGACCGTCTCCAACATATGACTTATGATAAGTGAGGAAAACCCAATAGTTCGCTTCGTAAGCTGTACCGGCTCGAAATTTGTAATTAAAGAACAAATTCTTAATCTACGATAACGCATTTCTGTAGCAGTACTTAGTTAAATGTGAAAATGATATTGGCCAATATGACATTAAACAAAAATGTAGGAGAAACACAATACGACAAGTAATTCGGTAATTATTAATGTTCATCTGTGAAATATGGTTCGAATAAAGATAATTACATAAAAATCAAATGCTTGCGTGTTTTTAGACGGCAAGAAAATGAGCAATACAGCAAATACATAGATAAATTGGAGAACGAGACTCTGGTCAGCTGTAGGCAGTATAAATAAAGAATCAATTTTGCGTTGATAAATCGTACGATCGATCGAAGCTTAATTTATATGTGCTGGCGCTGTCGCACGCAACTTTTTTTTTAACGATTTCTTTCGTACCTCGAACAGAATGAGCTGCGATCCTATCGCGTTTGCCGGAAAGACTTATTTGCCGATATAAAGAAACGATACGTTGCTGATGCCGGGCAGCACCATCAGTATTTGGTGGAAAAGCGGGATCTCTTAAGAGCCAAATCAACGCGACTAATTTCCAGTAAACCTCTTGCTTCCCCTAATGATTGCAGATTCATCTTGCTGCGCAAAAAATATGATTAAATTTTGTTGCAGAACTCAACAACGATTATTTACAACTGATGGAAAATAAATCGTCATGGGATAGCAACATGCTGAAACTTCGGCATCTTAAGGTAAGCGCACACCTGTTCTTTGTTAAATAACAGTCTGAATATTTCAAAAGCAGTTTGAATTATGAGCCTATTTTAGGGAGTCAAAGAAGAACAGCACAACAAAATTCATCGCCTTCGCCTGGATTTAGCCCACTCGATTATGAACCTGAAATCCGAAAGCCGAAAACTACGGTTGCGGCACGCGCGATATCGTGTTAGCGATTTAGACGGGCGTCAACATCGTCTGTCCACAATTTCCGAACATTTAGAAAAGGTAAGCCGGGAAAATCCAATAACGGCGGCCTACTCAATAAAAGCCTCATGTGCGTAATAAACAATTTTAAACTGTGCGTGACGGAAATCTCGATTATGGTGTTCAGGAGACCGACTCGCATTTCATCCAGCAGCTGGAAGCCAAATGGGTTTCCAACCGGCGGTTGTCAGCGGCAATTAAAAGTCGTGTACAGCAAATTAAAGTTCTTCGAGATTTGCGACAGAAACTGCAGGAGACGGACCGGCAAAATAATTTCCATCACCAGTATTTGTTGAAATATGAGAAAGAACTGTCAACGATGAATTCTGTGCCGGTTACAAATAGTTGGCTGGGCGGTCGGCAATGCGCCCAGGGCAGCGGAACACCGGAGGCAGGGAATCGTCCGCAAGGGAGAAATGAGCGCTGGTTTCAGCTGTATGATTGGAATCATTCGGAAAGTCGGAAATGAAGAGTTTCGGGAATGCAAAATTGTCAAAAGCCACAATACTAATAAGACGCGACAACGAAGTCGAAGAAACTGCACCAATGTAAGAAAACTGGACGATTCAAAGAACATAACAAAACCAGAGAGGTTTTTTCTAATTTCACGAATACCGGCTTATAACAAACCAAAATTCTTTTGTTTTTAACCTTTTTTTAGCTTCTTTGCTTCAAATTTCGTAATAAATTCTTACAATTCTTGATTTCATTGTTCTTAAAAGTTTTTTTTAGCTTTTCCTAGTTCGTAGTTTAATACCATGTCGGTCAGGCGCGAATATTTTTATAAATACGCATATAAAATACGGAGAAAATTTTTAAAAGCACAAATTCAGCATTTCAGCACACAAATACTGTACATACCGTCTAACACTTCGCCAAATCAGAACGCTTCTTGAGCTTCAATTACCAAAAATCAGTGGATCGTCTATTTTGCTTCGCTTGAGAAACCTTCGACTTAAAGCGAATAACTGTTCTTATAAAATGTCCAAATATCGCAGTAAAGCAGGCACACGGTTTCACCGAAATAAAACTGACAGGGAGACAAAGCTCATACTGAGTATCAATTGATCAGTTTGTAGTACAAGGAAACTACACTGCTAGTCAACACGAGTAATCAAGAAAATCATCATTACTCGCGCCATTTTACCAGGATATGGTGGATTCCAGCAAATGGGATTGGACTGCCATAAGGAAACAGTGTTGCAGGAAGTTTGGCAGCTTTTGCAGCTCCTGTTTCGCCAGGTCCTTCGCGCTGGCATTTTGCAATGCAAGGGTGATTTGTGAATTGCAGCGCAACTCCTTATATTCCGCATTTTCCTCCAAAAATTCTGATAACACCTGAAAGAAAACCCGCAACAACATTGCGCTTCGAGTTCACGAAAAGAGGAAGAAGATTTTCCTGCACCTGTTTGATGGCTTCCCATTTTGCGCTCCCATCTAAATCCGGAAAGCTCTCGGCGAATAATTTGTCCAAGACGCAGGTCAACTGGGTTTCTGTCAGCGCTGGCACGCCATTAAACATCATTTTACACCAATCGTCGCCACTGAGCTGCCGGAGTGCCGCCAGACGGCCAGTGGTAATACGGACTTTGCAAACAGTTTTGTGCTCAGCGTTGTCGTCCTCAGACAACACGAAAGAAAATCTAAAATTCCGAAGGATGACCGTCGAGCATATTTCCAACAGTTCGCTAGTCTTTGTGACCGGGCCCATGTCTTCTTCGTCACCATTCCAGCATTGATCGGATACGAGTATAGTACGGGGCGAAGGGAGTTCAAATTTTTCCACAATGCGACAAAAACTCCTGGTTGAGAACGGCACTGGTTCGTGGTGGTCGGAAAAGCCGGTGATAATAATGTAGGGACCCCAGCAACTTGCTGACGCAGATTGCGTTCAGGTACTCCTCTTCCAGCCATCCCTCCTTGACTTCTTCATCCGAATTATCTCGGCCCGAGTAATTGAGACGCAGCTGGTTTCGGATACGCGGTATCGACAGAACAGAGTTCCAGTGGCTACACACGTTACGATATCGACAACGGATCGGAGTATCCAGGCATTCGAATGTTTCGGCTAAGATGACAACGGGCAGCAATTGAATGCCAGACGCCACGGACGCATCGCGATCGGCTTTCAGGCGTTGCACTCGACGGGATTTATCATCGTCAGCACTGGCGAAACCTAGCTTTCCAGTTTCTGACAGGGAAGCCTTGCGCAGCGGCTGAGACTTTTGCGACCGAACCGCGGGTTCCTGTAAAAACAACACTTGTGAAGCATTTAGATGGTATCTGTTTTGCATTGCTTTTCTCTTAAGCCGCTGTTCATAGCTTTTTCGTTATCTTTTTGTGCGGTGAGAAGGGATACCTTGGGCAATACCTCTGCAAACTCGCGGCAGTCCTCCTCCGTCACCTCCTTCCATTCCGTGAGGTGTGTTCGGATCCGATTGGCAGGAACGACCATTTTGACAGTCGAAGTAGGGAGCACGATGCTCGCCACTCCAAACGCATGACTTGCGTCATCAAACAGGAAAGAACGGCTGGATACCACTGCATCGGCTGACTAGGTTCCAGTCGTACTAACACCTCCACAACCAATGGCCCTTCTTCTGCAAGAAAACTAGAGTGAAAATTAAGGCTAGTTTTTCACTTTTCCGAAGATGGTTCATCAAGAATTACGAAGGGAGACGTGGAGCAGTATTTCACAATGAAACGAATATTATGTGAGAAACGCCATTGCTTGTCTCTCTCGCCTTACGTTTTTCCATTTCCTTTAAGAGTTCTGGTCGAACGCTCTTCTCGCAGAAATACGCTTTTCCGTATGGAACCAACAGCCTTGATCCGGCGTGTTTCCCTGTGTGTGTCTCCACAAGAATGCCGTCTTTCGTGCCAACGACAAGCTTCCCACGATACAACAAACCATCTTCATGTCGAAAGTCCAGTGGAAGACTCCGGCGTCGGCCTCCGTCTTCGGGTTGGCGCGGTGGTCCTGATAAAGCAGGGGCATCCATCTTGATTTTGGCATACGATATTTTGGGACAACTTCGTCCTAAACGAAAAGGCACACTCAAAAAACAAGAAAAATCTGTTTACTGTAACAGATGACAGCCGAGGACTCACGAGTGAGCTTTACTGACAAATAAAGGGAATACAGAATGCTGCGTAATAGCAGTCAAAAAGAACAAAGCCATTGTCTGGCCAGAATCTAGAAACGTGTTGCTAGAAGGGTTCTTGAGCGTCTGCCAAGGCGTGAATGGAATCCTGGCGGCAGCCACGTGCGTGATGCCGTCCAGTCGTCCAGACATATCAGCTGTGTGATGATGCGCAGACTGGACCCGATCATCCAACGCGAGCGTATGAACGCTGACTGCTGCTGCGAGCGAGGGACGAGAGAGCAGTGTTCCTCAGCGTATGCGCTGCGTATATCCGCTTCATCTGATGAGTCAGTGCAGCAGCACACATACCGTGACATACGTACAAGTGAGAGAGGCGATGCAGCATGCAAGTGAGTGCAAGTACGCCCTGTGTGGCGGAGCACCAGTGCACCACGCGCAGGCTCGTACGTAGGGCACGATCTTGAGACTATTTAACAGCCCTGCCGGGTCAAGTTGGGGCAGTTTGTCTCAAAAATTCCTGTGAGTTAACCGTCACCAAATGAAAGCTTATCAAAACTTTACATGATAGCTGTGTATGTCCCACATCTTTTCCACTTAAGATTTCCATGCTCAAAGCGCGTTCCGAATTATAGCGGGATAAAAATTAGAGCAGACTAGTTGGAAAATGTTGTTTGACCCACCATACTTGTTAAGCACTGCCCAATTTAAAATTCGTTTAAAAATTCTGATGATGTCATAGTCTGAAATCGGTAATTTTAAGTTATTCCCCATTCAGTGCTCTTGCGAATTATTTGATTAGCCAGCCAATCTCAACCAAGTGTGCGTGACCTTTGTAGTCTGACTGGAGGCACCAGAAAATTGAAGGATGACCTCCTCTGCATGCTTGCCGTAAAGGCGCAGAGTGCCGTACATAAATTTTTTTAGTAAAATCTTGTTCACGAAATTTTGTGGGTCAGTATAAGTCTCTGTATCCTCACAATAGACCCGGGGTATTCCGTTTAAAAGCGTTCAAACAGCGAATGTATCTTTTTTTATCCACAGCTTTATCGGTTTTTTATTCTACTTATTCGGAGCAACCGTGTCCCCGTCTGTGCGATAGATGCTAATCCAACCATCAAATTCGTATGCTATTATCCATGTGTTACCCATGAAAAATATCAATTCGAAGTTAGCACACCAGGGGCGCTAGGCAACCGTCTTCTTCTGAAGGTGCGTTATAACATACGAGTCTATGGGAACGACACGTTATTTCGAGGGGCCCCCGAGCACGGTTTGAGCAAGACTCTTCTCCCAACTTTTCGTGGACACCTTTTCGGCCTCTCAATAGTTTTCAAAAACTTTCACGAAAAAATATCTCCTGGTGACTTTTTTAGAAGCGCATTTATAAGCGCCCTAAAACAGACCACCACCCCATCACCTAAATCACCGATCGGCTCGCTACAGGCGAACCCGTAAGGACCGGTGTTAGCACTGTTGGATCCGCAATAAAAAACTGAACCAACTATCTTAAAACATAAAAGCTCAACGAAACATACAAATATTTTATAATTTATTTTGTACAACTGCCCCAACTTGGCCCGGCAGGGCTGTATTTTACCATCGGATGGTGGAAGTACGCGTTCAGTGGATGCTTGGCCTTTCGCTACGAGCAAAGAGTAAGCAATGACGTGCAGTTCAGTGCCGCCCATGAGTTTCCGTGCAGCCATTTACAGAAGCTGTGTGCCTGGCACTACCTGCTTTACTGCGGTACTAAGATAAAGTATATATATTACTTAAGAGTAGTAACTCTCGTAAAGGCGAAGTTTTCTTTGACGAAGCAAAATAAATGGTCCACTGACTTTTGGTACAAGGGAAGCCGGTGTTCAATTAGCGTTCTAAACTGACAGAAGGTTAGACGTTGTGTACCGGTGCGCTAATTTTTTTGACGTTTAAATTTATCCCCGTAACTTATTTTTTAGAAAATAATAGTAGTGCGTCACCGACATGACCTATACACAACTTAGAACAGTTAACAAAAATTTTAAGAAAGTGAAACCAAGAACTTCGAGAAATTAATAGACCATCAAGAAACAGTTGATAGTACTAAAGTACAAGTTGTCCAAGTCACGAACTAGAAGTCCAAGTCTCGCTTGAGCTAGAGCGCGGGTCGTGACAAGCATATTGTTTGTTCTAAGCCGGTATACTGCAAAGTCCAAATTACAAAATACCTCCCTAATCTTATGATGTTTGTCGAACCTTTCAGAAGCGGCCGCTGAAAGTGGAGAGTTAAACGACTGGTTCGTTTTCACCGGTGTTTCCGGTTCTGGTAATAGTTGGAGCCCAGCATTTACTGGCGCAGGCAGCATTCATGTACTCCACTTCCGGGCGCATTTTACTCCACCTCCGGTTCATTCGAAATGACACGGCCCGAGAAATTCAGGCGCAGCTAATTTTGTACCCGCGCCATGGAAAGGACTGCACACGCTACGATAGCGACAATGGACCGGAGTATCGAGGCAGTCTAATACCGTATTTATGCTAAAAACGACGCCGGCAAAGACAGAGTGGAATGCGTCTTAAATCCATGTCATATTAGTTCGTAGTACCGGTAGTTCGGTCGCCGCAGGGTCGCTAACCATTTAGCCACCTAATCAGCACGGATCCGGTCCCCGGATACAGATCTGTTTAACGTGTTGCGCCCTCATCCCTAGTGGAAGTGGACAAT